TTAGGGTTTAGCTTTGAGGGTTTTGGGGGGCATCATCTTATTTACGGTCCGCTTAAGGAGGTTCTATGGGGAGATAAACGTATATCTACGGTCCCCTTGGTTGATCATAGGTATAGATGGGATATCGAAGGGATGCATGGGGATTTGTCGGAGCACATCGGGTTACATTGAGCTATTTCGGCTGTAGGGTTTGAGGTTGAAAGTATGGGCAAAAATTTGAGCCTTAGCCTCTTTTAGGGGAATCCTAGAGGCCCCCAAAGGTATGTATGTCCGTATATTACCCTAAACTCGTATCTACAGGATGTTGGGACGGCGAGGTTCAGCGGCAAGACCTAGAGGCCTGTACTTTGAGCCTTGGAGATCTTGGAAGTTCAGCTTTTTAGTCCTTTCAAGGCTTGTTTAGGGTTTAGGGTTTAAGGGTTTAGGGTTTAGGGTTCAAGGTTTAGGGCTTAGGGGTTTGGAGTTCTCGGTTATGGGACTGTAGCCAGGAACAGTGGCAGGTGGGAAGTTTCCCTGTGGGTACAAGCACATCGCGCTCCAGTGCTGGTCGTGTAATGGCAAAGGGGTTCTGTCAGATCGATATACACCTGCTAATTCCCTCCCCTAATCATTAACTCCCTTACCCCCTTGATACGTGCCCCCAACACCTTACCATAATCTCAGGGAAATGCTAGTGGTTAGGGGTGGGAGGGAGGGGGTTAGTACTCGGGGGAGGGGATTAGGAAGGATATGCAGGTATGCGCCTGACATCTACCCACCTAGAACACTCCTGGTTGCTCCTATCCAGCTCAAGCAAGTAGCCGTCATGTAAATTCTAGCGTGAACTTTTAGAGTCCGCCTAAAAAACCCCTATAATACTCCCCTATATACTCCTCCATTTAACCCCCTTTAAGGAGGTCAGATTATAGCTCATCTAACCCTAAAACCCTAAACGAGTCGTTTACATTTTCTTGTCCATTATACCTATAGAGCCCCATATAACCCCTATAACATCCCCATTGAAGGGCCTTAAAGGGATATATATGTATATATATGTATATTATATGTATATATATATGTATATAACCCTAAAATACGTAATCCTGCAAAAAATCTGTCAACATGTCTCTGCAGTCCGCGTTGACTGTTGGTGGGTCCTTGAAATCCTAGGCACACCCAAGTAGGTCAGACCAATAAAGGTCCCCCCATCTGGGGACTTAGGGTTTAGGGGTTTAGAGTTTAGGGGTTTAAGGGGGGTAGGGTTTAGGGGCTTACCCTGGACTATTGCCTGAGTTTGAGGTATTTGAGCCCCTACATTAGACCCTCGAAGCCCTGGCGACAGAGGAGCCGAGTAGCTTTCTTTCACATCAGCTCGCGCGGCCAAGTTCAGCAGGGCTGCCTCAGGCTTCGGCGTTCTCCGGTTGGAGGTATAAAAAGGGGGACCCCAACACAAATCCTTTTTTTACGGAAATCCTCGACCCTGAACCCTCGAAATCCTTTGTAAGTAATGGCACCTGGTCTTTTAGGGGAAGTCAGGTGTAAAACATCTACACACACGCATACACATAGGGTAGCTATCGGGAATTTCCAGATCCCCCAGAAAAGACCCTGAACCCTTCATCCTAAACCCTAAAGGTCCCTACGATCCTAAACCCTGGGCCTTAGAGATCCTAAACCCGAAGCCCTAAACCTTAAACCACCCACCTTTGATTATGATGGGGCGCGGTTTAGGGTTTAGGGTTTAGGGGCTTCTGCGTTGGAAAGTCTGTCAGTGTAGGCGATGTAGGCGGTGTATTTGTGGTTTCACAAAATTGTGGGTGCCCTTGGGGGGTCATATAAGGTTTACAGGGGATGTATTTACATATATATATATACACATATAAAGCTATATCGGAATGTATAGGATTTATGATTTAGGGTGTGTGATTTCCGTAAATTAGGTGTTTTTTCTTACGAAAACTACCGTATGATACGGAGGATGAAAAGGGATAGATTCGGGCTCTTTGGCTGCGTATGGCATCTGCTCATACGAGGAATTTCAGCAAGTGCACTGTGCTCTGAAAGCGATCCTTCCTGCCCCTTATGCCAGAAAAAGGGAATATACCCCCTATATGGTTCCTAAGAAATATATTCCCATCGTCCCTACAAAGGCCAGTGAGTTAAGTATGTTATGAAGGGTAAGGGGGCTGCTATAAATAGGCCAACCTCAATTGAGGCACCGAAAGCCCCTTCGTAAGTTGGGTGATTCCCCCTTACTGTCCATCAAGGCGTTTTATGAAGAGGCTATCTCAACTCCTAGCACCTGTTGTGGTAACAGTTACTGTCAGGGGGATGACTTATTTTATCACCTACTTACTAACCCTAAACCCTAAACCCTAAGCCCAACCTCCCCTCCAACCCCAGGGTCTCAACCCTAAAGAGAAATGTCCATTGGCCTGTCCACTCCTTCATTCCTACTAGCTGGGTTGTAGTGACCCTAACCCTAAAACCCTAAACCCCAAGACTCTAAATCCCTTACCCCCTACACCCTAAAACCCTTAAACCCTAAAACGCTAAACCTTTAAACCCTAAAACGCCTACACCGCAAAACTCTGAAGCTTAAACCCATCCCACAGGGCCTTGAGTCCAGCTTTGTCAGCCTTCGCGGCAACGGCGTCCGAGAGTTCGACCGTGGACTTTGCCGCAGCGGCCTTCTTGGCTCCCTTGCCCGAGCCTTTCCCGGCCTTCCGGAATTGAACGGGGTTTGGGGTTTAGGGTTTTAGGGCTTGGGGTAATGGGTTTATATGGGTTTAGGGTTTATAGGGGTTTAGGGTTTATGGGGTTCTGGGGTTTTGGGGTAATGGGTTTATAGCGGTTTAGGGTTTATAGGGGTTTAGGGTTTATAGGAGTTTAGGGTTTGTCGGGGTTTAGGCGGTTTGGAGGCCCAAGGAAAGGCCATAGCCTTCATTGCTATGATTACTATGGTTCCTACTACTGTTGAAATTGCTATTGTTATTGTCATGACAAGGGTTTCAGGGTGTAGGTGGTTAGGGTTTAGGGGTTTAACGGTTGTGGAAGCCCTACCCCTTAACGAATCTTTATGCAACCCAGTTGAGCCATAAACTCCAAACCCTAAACACTACATGAGCGGGATTCTATAAGGGCCGATTTTCGGGGATTATTAGGAGGAAACTAGTAGTTTAAACTCTGGCTCATATAATCCCCTATATAACCCTAAGCCCTAAACCCTAAATCCCTAAATCCCTAATCCCTAAATCCCTAAACCCTAAATCACTAAACCCCATATAATCCCCTATAGAACCCCCAGAGCTCATATCGGCAGCCTTGCTCTTCGGAGAGGCTTTGGCTTTTGCCTTTGCCTTATCCTTGGCAGCGGCCTTGGTGTCTGCCTGCCCGGCTTAGGGTTTAATCAGGGGTTTAGGTTGGGTACTGCCCCCACCCAGTGCTTCTGGGCCCCAAGGTTTAGGGTTTAGGGTTTAGGGTTTTAGGGTTTAAGTTGGGTACTGCCCCCACCCAGTGACAGTCTATATTAGGGGTCCTATTAAGGGCTATATATAACCCTATTATAATGAATATCCAACTGTACTGAGGGGGGGGGCAGTACCCAAGGTTTAGGGTTCAGGGTTTAGGGTTTAGGGGCTTAGGGCTTCAGGGTTGTAGGGGCTGAGGGGTTTAGAGTCTGAGGGTTCAGGGATTAGGGGCTTGGGGTTTCAGGACTCAGGGGTTCAAGGTTGTTTAAGGTTTTCGCGGTCGGGGTTTTAGGGTTTTTGGGGTTCAGGGTTTAGGGGTTTAAGGCATCACACATTGCCTTGGCTTGCTTCTCAGCGGCTTTCTTCTCCTTGCTGCATTCGCTTCAAGCTAAGGGGCTTGGGTTTGGGAGTTAGGCATCAGGGGCTGAAGGTTTGGGGCTCTGTGGTGGCCTTCTTGATCCCAATAGCAGCACCTATATAGGCGTTTCCCAAAATTAGGGGTACCTTGCTGGGGGTTCCTATAACAAGGATTACAACAGTATTTGTTGGTCCGTGTTGGGGTCTCCTATTTGGGAAACTACCCACATAGACCCCATCTTTTAGCTGCTTTTCATTTTCTGTTCCATTTATTCATTCATTCATTCATTCATTCATTCATTCATTCATTCCCTGCTCAAACAGCAACCAACAAGTTCGGGGCTCTGGTTTGATGCCTAGGGGTTTAGGGTTGAGGGGGTTAAGGGTTTGGGGTCTACTGTCTACTGGCAATTTCCGGGAAACTTGAGAAATACGCTCCTAATTCTAATCTCTACAAGCCATGCAATAACCGGAGTTTGCGAACCCTAAGCCCTAAACCCTAAGCGCGGAAACCCAACAGCCAAAAACCCTAAACCCTAAAGCCTGAACCCTAAAACCCTAAACCCTAGAATGCCCTAAAACCCTAAGCCCTAAAAACCCTAAGCCCTAAAGTGCTAAACCCTAAAACCCTAAAAACCTAAACCCCAAAACCCTAAACCCTGAAACCCTAAACTGCCTGCAAGCAGGGTTGAGGGGACATGGCCGGCCCTTCTTTAAAGGTGTTATGAATTGGGCCAATCCCCTTCAAAAGGACTATAGGTGGTATATAAAGGCCCTATCTACTCCATATTTAGGGGCTCCTACTAGGGGCAATTTACCGATGTTTTGGAGGTGGTTCAGGGCTTTACTGCTCAAGGGTTTAGGGATTGGGTTGGGGGTTTAGGGTTTAGAGATTAGGTTTGGGGGTTTAGGGTTTAGGGATCATGGTTTAGCGCTGAACATTGGGGTTGGGACTCCATTTAGATCTCGCGTGCTTCGTTGCCTTAAGGGCATGCCCTGAACACTCAGTCCCTAAATGCCAAACAGGTTGTGCAAACTATGGCCCTTCTTGGATCCCTAGCATAATGTGGAAGCTAATATGTAGAGCTCCCCAGGAAGGCACACCCCAGACCCTAAACACAAACCCTAAACCCCAAACCCTACATCCATAAATCCTAAGAACTAAACCCGCAGCCCGATATCCTCAATCCTGAACCCTAAATTCTAAAACCCAGACCCCACCGCCCCAAACCCTAAAGCCTAAGCCTAGAAGCCTAAACCCTAAATAGTGGCTTCCATTTTCTTTTCCATTATCCCTATATAACCCCAATATAACCCCAATATAACCCTAATATATCCCATTATAGTAGTTTCCATTTTAGTTTCCAGTATCCCAATATAGACCAAATATAACCCAAATGTAACCCCAATATAGCCCCTATAATCCCTAAACCCAAAACCCTGTCCTTGGCGCTCTGCTTTGCCGTCTCCTTGTCTTCCTTGGATACCCTTGCCTCTGTCGAGATTAAGGGTTTTAGGGGTTTAGGGTTTAGGGAAAGGGTGAAGGTTTGGTAGGTGGGGTTAGGGGCTTTGAAGGTTTTAGGCGTTAAGTAGTCTCGGATTCGGTTGAAGGTTTAAGAGTAAGGGTTCTGGAGCTTAGGGGAGTTTGAAAGGCATAGGGTTGGGCGGTTGGTCTTGCCCTTGCATCATACAAATAGGATCGAGCAATGGACAATCAGATGAAACAGGGAATGGAAGCTTGGTCTAACAGGTTTGGAGTCTCTCTAGGTACAAGTTACAGGCTGTTGTAACCCCCACACCCCAAAATAGGGCCTCAAACCCTAAACCCTGAACCTAAAACCTAACCCCTAAACCCTAAACCTTAACCGCGTAGAGCCACGCGATGTTGCAAAGGGAGTGGTTGTGCGGTTAAGGGTTGCCAACATCCTCTTATCAGACATGGATTGTTCGGAGCTGAGGGCTTGCGGTGCGGGGCTTAGGGTTTAGGCGCTTATTGTTTAGGGTTCAGGATTAGGGGTATTGTTATCATCAGACAGCGCCTCCTCTCATATTCAAGCTCTCCACCCCCTAATAATGTTACAGGTTCTCCATACATGAGAATAGACCACAATGGGATTCTTTGATATTACGGGAGGCTTTAATATCGGGGGGATGGGACTATTAGTATGTACCCTCGCTGCTCCCTACTAAGTTCCTCCCCAAATATCCCACCCTTAAGCAATCAATATGCGACAGATGATGGCCTAAAGTGTGCTGGCCATGGGCAAATCTAGTGCAACAGGCCAATCGACTTCTCCAAGGGCCGCTTGTTGAACCCTAAACCCTAAACCCGAGAGCATCCGTGCACGCGGCCCGAACGGCGTCTTGAAGCTGCTCAACCTCAGCCTCTGGCAGGCAAGAAGCCGCGGCCCAAAAATGCACACCCTACTGTGGCACCTAAAAATATATCCCCAATTTAGCCAATGATAATCCCAGCTTGCATTTCATTTTCAATTCTCTTTTCCACTTGATTTTTCATTGTTGGGGTATTATCCCTACATGACCCCAATGTAGCTTGCGCCACGACAATGGGAAACCAAATCATGGCCAAATGAGATCACCAGGCACGCGCACACATGAGGGCGTGCAGGGAAGACAACGTTGGGAAATTTCCCATGACGAACTCAAACCCTAAAGTCTAAACTCTATAGACCCCTTAGGCAGATAGAATATGGCTGTGGGTAGATTATCATAAGATCCCCATATACCCCATTTTTTATCTGCTTCAGGGGGACTATACACCCTAAACCCTGGATCGAGATTGTTTGTTAACTATTTGGCCGGTGTGGGCTGTGGTTGCTTAACTACTCGGAAAGATACGTACTATGCTTGTTGTGCAGTATTCCGACTGCTACTGGGCCAAATGTATCCCAAGCAATTATGATGAGCCTCTAAATCCTGAAGCCAAAGCCCCAAACCCTAACCATCCCAGTATATTCATATACATATATACATATATGTATGTGTATATATATATATATGCCGGCACAACCCCATAAAATCCCCATCTTAAAAGGATCCGCCCTTGACTAAACCCTGAAACCAGAAACCCGCTCAAGAGAACCTTGCCTTCTTGGCAGGCTTCTCAGCCTCGTTCTCTGCGCTAGGCAAGGGGACGTAGGACTTCTTGGCCTCACCGCAAAAAAGCTTCTAATGGGTTCCCCGAAGGATTTCAGGTTTAAAGTTGAGAGTTTAGGGTGAAGGGATTAGGGTTTGGGGGGTTACCGCCAATAATACCTCCCGTAATTAGGATTAGCTGAGGGTAACTAGGTGAATTAAAGCAAAGTAAAGGGGCGGGGTATCAAAGGAGGGGGGGGGGTTAGGACAATCAATAAGTTTAGGGTTCGGAAGGTCTAGGATCCAAGGTGTAGGGTTTACGAATTTGAGATACAAGGCCAAGGGTTCAGGATGCACGCTTTTGTTTCGCAGGGGTCAAGATTAAGGCTTATCATCCAGAAAGAGTTGGAATCTGAGGATGGGACGCCCAAACAAATGCTCCCCATACCTGAACCCTAAACCACAGCACTAGGCCCATGTACTAAACCCTAAACCCCTAAACCCTAAACCCAAAAGTTGCATGGTTTTGGTGTGTAAGGTTGAGGGGACTTTGTGTAAAGTTCAGGAGTTGCAGGGCGCCTGTATAAGGGGAAGTAGCTGGGGCGTAGCGTCCTTGGTGTCGGCTTGAGGCTCAAAGCTTGAGGATAACCCTTAAGACCTACCTAAACCCCAAAAGCATGCAAAATATTGGCCCTAAACCCATAATAACAGCCATAAAGGCCAGTATTCTATATACTTTTGGGGGGTCCAGGTAGCCCTAAACCCTAATTCAACCCTAAATCCTAAATCCTAGACCCTGAACCCTATACATTGGTGAGCCACACAGAAAGGGTTTTGTCTACCCGTCTGCCTCCTCATACTCGGCCTTCTTGGTCTCGTACTCTTCCTGGAAGACCTGGGAATGTGACAAACTGCGCTGGCACACAACAGAACCTATGACAGCTGTGACCTAGAATACGTTGAAGTCAAGAAATAGCATGGGGATTAAATGGCTGAAGACGGACCTAAACCGTAAACCCTGAACCCAGAAAAGTTGCCAAATCTTAGACCCAGCCACTTTCTTCTCGTCCTCGCTGAGGCTCCTTACTTGCCAGGCTTCATGCGTGAAGAAATCACACCCGAGACCCTGAACCTATACCCTAAACCCTAAACCTTAAACCCTAAACCCTAACCTAAACCCTAAACCGAAGAGCTCAAAACCCCATGCCCGAAACCTCTGAACAGCCCCAAGCCTTAAACCTCCATGGGTTTAGGGCCCCATAATGGAGAATCAAATGGAAAAGGAAATGGAAAAAGGGTTTAGGGATTATAAGGGACTATATTCGGGTTATATTGGGGTTATATTTGGGTTCTATTGGGGTTATATTTGGGTTCTATTGGGTTTACCTTGGGTTCATATTGGGATAATGGAAAATAAAATGGAAGCTACGATAATGGGATATATTAGGCTTATATTGGGGTTATATAGGGATAATGGTCCTTAATCTCTAAACCCGTACACCTTGAGCCGCAAGCCATGAACACTAGTGCAAATCTTGAACCGAATGTGACCATCTGCCCCGGAAGCCTCCCCTCAGAGGTTTTTGGTAGAGAGCGAGGATTGGAAACCTGCCCCTGGAACCCTCAAACCCCAAGCCCTGAGCCCCAAATCACGAACCGTACTTATGTAGACCCCTGATTAATAAACCCCCTCCCCTTAATGGGGATTATAATCGGGATCCTAATATGAAGGCCCTTAAGAGGGGGGTTTCCTTCATCACGGGTCTACATTATCCCCAACCCCACATCGTCTAAGGCCTCAAGCCCTGGAGCCTAGTGTCCGGCCCTAGACCCTGAGATCCTTGAACAAACTAAACGCCCACATGTCCATGTCATGTTCCTATGTCTTTTGTGCGTGGTTCTCATGTTGTAAGCTACTATTCTTGCAAATCCATCCTAATTCCTGAACAGCCATCACCTAAATAGCATGGTCGTCTCAAGCTGCTTTCTACGAAAAGTAATATTCAGAGGGCTGATATTGCAGCCGGCCCAAATTCAAACTTCCCAATAGGCCCCCAACAGACCCCTATAGTTCTAAACGGAACCCCAAAATGACCCCGAACAGGGCGTTTGGATTTGGACAGTGGCTCGTACAGGCAGGTCCCATATCAACCCTAAATCCTATACCCTAGACTCTAAATCCTAAACCTCAAACCCTAAACCCCCAAACCCAAGCTGAGACTAAGCTTCTTCCAGCGGTCCGAGGCAAGCTTAGTGACGGCCGTGATCGGCTGGCCCTTGACCTTCCCCCATGGGGGGTAAGGGGTTGACCGCTTGAGGAAGCAACAGAATTTCCTTAATAATGGAGAATAAAATGGAAAAGAAAATGGAAAATGACATGGAAACTGCTATATATAGGGTTATGTATGGGAATATAGGGGTTATAGTCTAAACTCCTAGTATCCCCCTTAATAACCCTTATAGTAATCCCCTACATAATCCCCTATATACCCCCCTTTAAGGAGTTTAGACTATGGCTAATATGGTGCTTTCCGTTGAGATACTTCCTGAAGAATGGCTCAATCGTCTACTGAGACTTCTTGCCTTAAGCAAATGACCGGGGAGTCGCTTTCAGAGGCTTCGCAGGCTGGATGCAAAAGGGTTTACCCGAGGGCTCCTATGCAGTTCCTTTTTGGGTCTGTTTTGGCTCTTAGGTAAGGGATTATATCCATGATGGTTAAGAGTCACATGGAAGGGTTATAAGTTATAAGGGTAAACCGGGGTGTATTATATGTGCATGTATAGGGGTATGAGGGGCAAATACGGGTAAATAGGCACGCGCGCGGGTGTGTGTGTGTGTGTGTGTCTATATATATATACACACTCATAGATGAGCTCTAGTCTACAAGGTTAAGAGTCACATGGAGGGGTTATGAGGGGGAATGGAGGGTGTATATGGGGATGTATTAGGGTAAATAACGGGTATATGGGGATCCCCCTTAATGACCCCTATGATACTCCCGCATCATTCCCTATGTAAGCCCTTTAAGGAGTTTAGACTATGGCCATACGGGGATATCTAGGGGTATATGGGCCTATGTTGGGTTAGGGGCTCAGGGCTCAGGATTTTGGGTTGACCCAAAACCCTACACGGCTTATGGTTTTGGTGAGGCTAGCGTTAAGGCCTGAACTCTTCAAGGCTCGGTGTGTAGGGCTTAAGCTTCAGAATTTTGCCATTAAAGTTGTGGTTTATTTTGGCGGGTTCAGGGTTTAGGGCTTGGGCTTCAGAATTTTGGCGTGAAGTTTGTGGTTTGTTTGAGGGATTCAGGGTTTGGGACTTAGAGTTCTTGGCTTGAAGGCGTTAAAGACTGCCGGCCCTTTTTGAGTGTCAACATTTCACATGCAGCCCACGAGCCAATGCCGTAAGCTTGCAATTTGCAAAACCTCGTGTTCAACAATGAACCATCTATCAGGGGGTTTAGGATTCAGAGTTTAGGGTTTTAGGGTTTGGGGTTTACTGGTTTACAGGATGATGCAGAACTGTGCTGGATATGACAGGATACGTTCAGAGTCTGGGGCATAGGGTGCAGGGCAAGATTTCCATTCCTGGCCTTTAATAAGGTACAGCCCTAGGCCCCTATATATGCAGCTAAGTACAACAAAGTAGCAGTCACAGCACTCACGTGCCCAAAGCTCTGATCCTGCATACGGCTCTCAGATGTTGCCCCTACAATCCCTCAAGAGTCCTTGCAAAGCCTGAGACGTCAAGACCTTTATATAGAAAGTGTCAGCGAGTTGAGTTCCAAACTTCTAGTCCCCCTTAAGTAGATAGAATATGGGGTATATGGGGATCTTATTCTAATATACCCAAAGCCATATTCTATATACTTAAGGGGGACTATAGTCTCATGGCGGTTTGGGGATGTCGGTTTAGGATGCTGGGGAAGCTGGGGAAATGTAGGGCTAAGGGATTGATACGGGCCCTAAGCTCAAATATCTTCTAATGCAAGCGTTTTCCCTTCTAATTGCGCACGAAGTGAAACATGCATAGTACCCAACCCTAGCTACCATACAAGAAATAACCCCCCACCCTCAATACCATAGTCCTTAATCTAGGGACGCTCAAAATATTTTCGTCAACCCCTCATGTGGGCATTTCCAGTAGTTAGGGTTCCTGCTTCGGGGAAGCCTTTTGGTAGCACGTATAGTTCTGGAGGTATACAATGGGAACAGTCACGTCTGGAGATGTCCACACAGCTAATTGACAGGAAGCCCCAGTTAGTTCCAACAACACAGTTCCAACACTTGGCGTTCCATTTTGGTATGAATTTCTGAGGTGCCGTAATATAGTAATCTATGTCCATGCGGGGCCCATAATTTTGAGAACAACCCATATAACCAGAACCATACCACCAAAAGCATGGCGGTTATGAGCGAGGATCCCCCCCGAAACAAACCGGGCAACAACTAAAGGTTCCAAAGCCTGAAATCAAGCCTGTGCCCAACAACTTTCTCCATAAACCAACCCCAAGCACTAAATCCTAAATCCTAAACCGTGTCAGAGTAATAAAAATAAAGGTCGAACGAGCGACCTCCAGCATGAAGGCGGGGCGGTTCTTGGCAAGGAAGCCTCAGCTGCTCAGTTAGCCCCAACCCTGAAGCCTAAACCCTAAGTTTTGGGCTTAAGGGTTAGAGGAATAGGGGGTTCAGGGGGTTAAGAGGTTGGGGCTTTAGGGTTCGGGGCACCGCAAGACAGGGTTGAGGATTTTAGGGGCTCAGGGGTCTAGGGCGGCTTCGATTTGGAAAGCTTGCGGCCGCACAGTTTCCAATATAGTGGATGCTCTACCTAGACCCCAAAAGTACGTAAAATAATAGCCCTAAACCCTTAAAAAACAGGCAAAAAGGCTATATTCTAGATACTTTAGGGGTCCAGGTAGTATCTTTTCTTGCCAACTCTGCAAGGACTGCTTCGAGAAACCCTTTGCCAGTAACCAGCCTAGAAACAGCCGAAAGCGCCTCCGGCAGGCTTCTTGGGTGCTGCCGGGTCCTGGAATAAATGGTTCCAGGTTTAGCGCTCATGGTCTTCTTGATTTGAGTTTGAGGCTTAGGGCTCACACAACTAAAAATCTCCGGATTCGGGCTTAGGGTGAAGTTGGGAAGGTTTAGGGTTTGGGAGGTGCTTTATGTGTTTGGGATTTATGGTTGTAAAACGGGGCTTCTCCAAATAGGGGCACCCGAATAACAAGGGGGCTATAGCGTCTTGGTAGGAATATTAGTGGATGTGAAGAAAAGGTTTCCCATCTTGGGAGATACTAGCGGCGAATATGTATATGTACAAAGGGTCATATTCAGATTGGTGGTCTCCCCATAGAGCAACACATCAACACATTTACCAATCTTTGTAGCCAACCACTTAGCAAAGCCGTGATGACACTCTCACTCTCTCATGCCGTTTCGGATAATTAAGACGTATGATGGTCTGCCATTAGTTGAATGCCCTACGACTTCGACTTTGGACTACGCCGACGCAGCAGGACCAGCTTTTCTTTCAAAGCAGGAGCGGAAACATGTCATCACCCATGACATGATGACAACAACGATTGTAGGGAGAAGCCACGACTACCATCATTCCGCATAGCGCAGTGACAGGCAATACGTGTGCAAGGCTGCCATAATGGCACACGGAAACCGTCGCCAGAAACACAAAGACTAGGACAATTCACACCAAACCCCACGCCCTGAATCTCAAATCTGAGTAGCAAGCCAAAGCTATAACCTGAAATAGGAATGATGCACATTGAAGTCTACAGCACCTCCTCAGCAGTAAGAACATCTAGAAAGCTTCAGTCGGTGGGGGAGTCTGAGCAATTGCCAATGCCAGTCCCACACATCTTTTGAGATACACAGTCATCCGCTTCTGAACCCTTTTTGAATGATTCAGGGCCCGACTGTCGGCTGCATTATTCCCCGTACAGCTCTATACAACCCCCATACACGCCTTTGTCTGTTCCTGAAAGGCCTTATGGGGTTTCTCAAAACAGGAGGCCCGCAGGCACCCTACGGATACATGGGGATTGCCAGGGATTAGGGTGTCAGGGATTGTGAAGGCTAAGCTTGAAGTTTTGCACGCTTTGGGGCGGACAACTTTGTTTGGGGCCTCATATCCATCTTCCCCTCAGTATCTCTCATGATTAGGATTCAGGGTTTGAGGTTCCGGATTTGCAGTATACGGTCATCCCTGCATTCCTCACACCATCCTACATGCCCGTTCGGTACCTGGTAGACATTTGAAAGCCTTCATCCTGACCGAAGCCGAACTCTATCTACAGTTTAGGGTTTAGGGTTCATCCCTCATGCCATCCTGTATGACCATCTGGTACCTGATAAACAGTTGAAGGCCTCAATCCTGAAGCCGCACTCTATTCACGGTTTAGGGTTTAGGGTATAGGGTCCAGAACCCTGAATACTGGTCTGCACCGTGCCTTCTTCTTCTTGGCCGTCTTATCAGCCTTCCTCTTGGTGCCTTTCTTCTCTCCACCCGCCTCCACAGCGGTTTAGGGCCCTTGCATGACTAATGAGGATTACTCACCAGGGGGGGGGGGCAGTGCTGCTAATGAAAAGGCAGCAAAGGGGTCCTTCCAAGGTTTCTATGAGGAATGTTCTGAGAAATCAGAAGCTCAGACATAACGGTGTGCATGGGATTTGGGGGTTTAGCTCCCTTTTCACCAAGTCACAACGTGGGCCCTGCCGTTTAGGGTTCAGGGTATAGCTTCCGCGCACCTCCAAGTGGCAATACCATCAAATCGCAGGGGCAATGATCTTCCCGCCTGAAATCCTGTGTGAACCCCTAAGTAGGCTTAGTGTTTAGCGCCTAAACATTAAACCCTAAACCCGGAAAAGCATCCTGTCAATCCACTCAAGAGCAAGAGGCTGACCCTATAACCGAGATGGAAATTTCTCAAAATCGCCCCTGCAGAATATAACTCCCTGGTGCTTACGAGGGAATCGCGGAATGGATCATGGAGATTATGATTGGGGATTGTATAGGGACTACTATAGGGATCCATTCCTCCATTCCCTCCTAAGCACCAAGGAGATAGAGGGTTTTGGGCTTAGGGCCCGAGATCCCCGCATGGTCCACAGAATCGCCGAATCTGGATCCCATCTATACCCTAGTCCCTGAACCCTACATATAATTGAAGACATATACCATACATATATATATATGTACATACGTATTTAAACCTAAACCCTAAACCCTTAACCCAAAATGTCAGGGACCCAATACCTCCCTCCAGCCTCTGCAGCCTGCCTCAGGGAAGGCACTCATCCCCCACTATGCCCCTAAACCCTGCAGCCTAAATCCTAAACCCTAAAACCCCAAACCCCTAAACCCCATCCTGCCTCAAGGAAGGCCTCCATGTCCGCGGCGTACTTGGCGTTGGCTTCCTCAAACTTCTTCTGGTACACGGCCTTCTCCTTTGGTGAGGCTTCAGGTGAGGGACTATCACACGGGATCTACGAAACTACCACAGAGACCTCCCTCAACCTTTACTCAAGTCCTTATCCTTTGAAGGCTTTTGTCGATGTAGCGTTATGCTTGACGCTTGCGTTTGACCTTCTTTGGGCTGATTCTTGTGAGCTTTAGAGCCTTGATGTTGGTTGAGGTTTACGGTTCGTGCCATCCTGCGTGCCCAAAAAGTAGAATGCAATGTGTCGAGCAGTTGTATAACATGGTTTGGCGTCTAGGGATAGGACTCTGGACATTGAAATCCTAAACCCTCAATCCTAAACCCAAAGTCCTCAAGCCTAAACCCCCAAGCTAGTGCATTGGGTGGCCTCGTGTTTTAGCGCTCAAGTTTTTGGATTTTAGGGACTACTGGCTCAAAACACGCAGGCACCAAATAACGGCAGTACCGTGCTTTTTTGACATGGCTACTGGTCCCAGACTGACTAGGAACCTTGTAAAAGGTCATCATTGTTAGTCATAAGGACTCGTGAATATGAATGGCACCCAACTCTGAAACTTCCTGACCCAAGACCCTAAACCCTAAACCCCTAATCCCTAAACCGTAACCCTTAATGCCTAAACCCTGATCCCTATACCCTGAACCCAAGACCTTAATCCCTAAACCCTGAACTCCAGACCATGATCCTTAAACCCTAAACCCAAGACCTTACATCTCCTGCGTTTCCATTCTCCACAACCTCCATTACACCCAATACTTCCGTGCAAGTTCTTCTCAACGCCGTCCCCTCCTAAATTCCCCAAACCCTCAACCTTAAACTAATGGGAGCATTCTGGTAACCCATGCCCCAGCATCAGGACATTGTAGAATGTCTACAAGGAGGTCCCAATTTGCAGGGTTGGGGTTGCCAAACCCCTCTTCTGATGAACCCAAACTGTTGGCCCTAAGCCTAAACAAATCAACCACGCGGTCTAGTTTAAGCTTTGGGGGTAAGCTCTGAGCCCTGAACCCTAAGCCGTATCTTAAATCAGGCATATAAGGTTCAGGGAATGGCATCTACCCTGTATCCCAGGTAATTAGACTGCTACTTCTCCTTACATCCGTATGGATGGACATTCCCCATTTGCCAGCCCTAACCCTTCAAAAACCCTAAACCTTCAAGCCGAAACCCCTGAACCCCTCCACATCCCCACTCAAACCCTACACCCATGATGTCCTCCGCATTGACCTCCTTGAATCGGGATCCGGCGAGCTTAGCGACCTCCGATGCGGGCTTCCCAGGGCCGACCTGCGTTGAACGTCTGCAAGGCTAGGGGGCGGGAATGTAAGGTTTAATCCTTTGAGGTCAACCCTAAAACCCTAAACGCTAAACCCAGTATTATTATTACTACTATTGCTATTACTATTACCCTAAGGGTCCAAGTACCCAATAATCACATACTTGCCCAAAACCTGTACTATAATTACTATCACCCAAAACCCAAGTACCTAAATATTGGGTACATGGACCCTCTGGGTTAGTATTACTATTAGTATCATCCCTTTGGCCTGGGGTATTGCACGCATGGCGACTGCTGAAGCCGGACTCGGCGTGTGAGAGGAACCAGGATTCTTAGAAAGCTTATATGAACCATGGGGGGCTATATAGGGGATTATATGGGGTTTGGGGATTTTGGGTTTAGGATTTAGGGTCTACAGGAGTACCTAAACCCCAAAAGTATGTAAAATAATAGCCCTGAACCCTTCAAAGCGGCCAAAAAGGCTATAATTCTACATACTTTAGGGGTCCAGGTAGTCTAAACTCCTAGTATCCCCCTTAATAACCCCCATGATAGACCATGGTATATAACCCCCTTCCAGGAGTTTGGGCTCTAAACCTTCAGCCCTAAGCCCTAAACCCTAAACCCTAAACGCCTATATTACCCGCCTTTAAGGGTTATCAGAGTTTAGACTACAGCTCATATGGGAATTCTCAAGAGGCAGTCCCTGTCCCAGCTCCCTCCTTCAGCACCAGTAAGCAATAGGAGGCCAAAATACTACCAATGTCCTGTCTAAGTTTATTTGAAGTCACTTTTCCATAATTATGCAAAAAAAAATACTGGAATCTCAAGGTTGGTAAACATTCAGGCTTCTTAGATCCTACACCCGAAGCCCTGGCCCCTAAGCTACCCTAAACCCTAGGCTAGAGCACACTGCACTTTCCGAGAATTCGGGGGGGTAGTCCCTGCTAAACTGTAGGTACTTGGGGCTACATGTAGCGCCCTAAGCCCTTAGCTTCACAACATCCGACAGCCCTAAGCTCATCGCAACAACCCCCGCCGACCTCCTTCTGCAACTCGGCACGATGCTCCGCCAGCCACATCTAAGAAAGGATGTATGGATGTGAGGGATTTCTCGGTTTTCAAGTCCAGTGTATCTATGGGTTGGAAGTACCTAAACCCCAAAAGTATGTAAAATAATGGCCCTAAACCCCTAAAAACAGCCCAAAAGTCTGTCATTCTACATACTTTAGGGGTCCAGGTAAACTCTAAGCCCTCAACGTTGAGTGTGCGCTTCGGGGGTTTGGACTCAGGTTCCCATGGTGTCACGATACCAGCCTCAAGCGAAGGGGGCAACATCCTTTCCATTTTGTGCACCGACAAACACGCCTTTCCCTTAACAGGGAATTACCAACATTAGGGCATTAGGGTGCTTCTAGTAGAGTCTTCGAAGATTTTACATGAGGGTGAAGAGGAGCTTCGTGAGTGCCCCACGGGTCGGATTTTTCTTATACGGTACATCATAGTATTCAGGTCTTATCGCTGAAGTGATTTCCACGCCGGAAATCCAGAACAAGCCCAAATAGACTTTGACACCCCCACCGCCCCACCCGCAACAAATGGAAGTTTGGGCCCTGTCTTACTATGCAGCTTTTACCCCAGAACCTACACACTAAATCCTACACCCTGAAACCCTCGCCCTAAACCCGTAGCCCTAAACAAAAATATGACCCCAGTGTTTCCTCCCTGAAGCCGTTGGCCCGGGAGCTAAACCCATAAATCCCAAACCAAGCCCTGCACCCCCACAATCTGAACCTCGCACACCCTCTATCCAAAACCCATACTTATACTTAGGGTTTAGGGTTTAAGGTTTTAGGTCTAGGGTGTAGGATAGGATTCTCCAATATCCGTGCAAAGCCGCAACTACTGCAACGGACTAAAACGTCAAACCCAAACTCCCTAAGACCAAACCAGGCACGCCATAGGCTCCACCGGTGGGCTTCTTGGGCTGCTCTCCGGCCATGGCTAGAAAAGGCGAAGTGCGGAAAGCGCGGAAATGTGAGGTCGCAGTTTGAATGCTTGAGGCTGACAGCGCCAGAGACAAGCTGGTACTGGAAAATGTGCGGTTCTGTAGCAGGGGCTCAATCAGGCTCATAAACCGTGTCTAGGGATATTACGCCAACAACGGAAAGTGAAACGGACAAGAAAATGGAATATAAGATGCGCACCAGGTCGTTTAAAGGTCTATCGGGCTGATACTGAAAAATCCTACATGGCTTCAAGTACCTCAAACCTTCGGAATACTGGTGTCCTAGAAGACTACGGCGATACAGGATTCTTAGTGTAAACCTTAAACACTAAGCTTTCACTACCCAGAAAGCCCTACATCCCTTCATTAAGGGGCATTGGGTTAGGACTTCTATTATGATTTAAGGCATACCTGGACCCCAAAAGTATGTAAAATAATGGCCTTTATGGCTGTCATTATGGGTTTAGGGCTATTATTTTACATACTTTTGGGGTCGAGGTATTCCTTAAAGGGATCTTGAGCTTTCTGGGTACTTACTAGTGCTTAAGGCGGAGTTGAGGACCGCATCCCTAAAAAGTCGCTATGGAACCCCAAGGGTCCAAGTACGCAACAAAGGTCCCCTTTAAGAGGATATATAGGGGTATATTGGGTTACATAGGTTTAGGGTTTAGGGTTCAAGTACCCAATAATTAAGTACTTGGGTTTTGGGTAAGAGTAATTATAGTACAGGTTTTGGGTAAGTATATGATTATTAGGTACCTGGACCCTTAGACGTACCTATTTTGGATGCCTCCACTCCCCGTAAACCACCAGTAGGCTTCGGGATACCTACTGCAACCCTAAACCCTAAACCCTAAACCTTGACTTGAAGGATGGGGAGACTTGCTAAGAAGGTCAATCATTGGAACAGCTCTGGAGCGCAGCTATGGCAGTACCCTACCCAGACCCTCCTATGTAGTTCTTTTTTGGCTAGTATATCATGAGTTTTGGGGTTTAGGGTTTAGGGTTTCGGGTGGTAGTATATCATAATCCATTACCCAAAAATCCATGTACAAACCCCAAAAAGGAACGACATGATTAGGAGCCCTCGGGTAAACCCTAAACCTGAATCGGCTAGGGTAGACTCGACAAAGGGGGCTGCAGAATCAACAACACTGAGGAATCGTGTGGGGCTTTCTAGGAGTTGCAGGATGACAATCCTTCAGGATATATATATATATATAAGGGTTGTTCTCAAGATTACGGTTCCATCTTGGTTAATGTTTATATTACGGCATCAAGAATTTAGGGGAATTAAAATAAAATGGGACCCTGAGTGTGGCAACTACCCATATACATATATATATATATCTATATATGTATCCAGATGCATATGGGGTACCCAACTGCTGGGAATACCCCCATGTGGACGTCCCTGTTTTGGCTCGAAAAGCCGCTCTGCAATGCCAGCACACAGCCACGCTATACATGCTGTGGCCTTGAGGAATGGCAACTCCATGAATGACCACGAAAGCAGTCCGTTCCTCAACCAGGACCCTCCTTGTACCCTTATTTGTGGATACATGGTCCCTAATAGTGGGTACTCAGGCCCCAATAGAGGGTAGGAGGAGGATCTAGGAATTTAGCCTGTGCAATCAGGATTCCCCTACGATTGCGCAGAACACATGCCGTCTCAGCTTTGAGACACCGCGCCAGACACTGCCTGACCCAATGAACCCATGCTCGCTGAGGACAAAGATGTAGTAACTGTAGTACCTATAGTCCCCCTTGAGTAGTTTCCTAGTAATATGAGCCCTAGCCTAAACTCCTAGTATCCCCCTTAATAAGCCCTATAGTTGTCCCCTAAATCCCCTTTAAGGAGTTTAGACTATGGCTCATATAGGTAGATAAGTACCCTAAACCCTAAACCCCTAAATGGGACCCTAATTTTGGGAACTCCTCATATACAAGCTAGGTAGATAGAATACGGATGAATGCGGGCATGGACACACCGGCACGTCTGACTACTGAGATCTCCCTGAAGCAGTGTGGCCCAAAGCTTCGCAAAGAGACGGATTTCTGGGTCCCTTTGCAAATTAATTCGGGTCTAGGGTTTGGGGTTTGGAGTTTACGGGTTCAGGGTTTGGGGTTTAGGGAAGATAGGTAGATGGGTGCGGCTGCCCAAAGTAAGGATGGTAGCAACCCACATAGAGTGCACCCGTATGACACACAAGAAGACAAATCCGCCATGCCCTATACAGTATTGTCTAGCTCTAGCGTAACTTGCTGGATGTAAATGGGATATTTCTCAAAACTGCTTTCGAATCCTTAGGAAGAAGCTTCATGGTACTTGTCATCCCTATTTAGGGAAACCTCAAGCCCCAAACCTAAATCCCCAAACCCTGAGACTTGTATATCTGCACAGCTTGATTAGGGTAGCCACTGCTCGTCTGCCTCAGGCGGATCTTTGCCCTCAAGTTGCCCTCAAGACTGCTCAGGCACCAAGCATAGCTCCCTCACAGGGGGCTGACATGTATTGGAGCAGCTTTAGGGTTTAGGGTTTAGGTTTTAGGGTTCAGGGTTTGGTTAGCTGTAGAGCTTCGGGTTTCTCATGTAAGGGCCTGAAAATTTCCAATCACATGTTGAGGTCTATGTCAAGTACCCTATGCCATAAGGCTACAAGGAACCTGGAACCCCCATATTGGTAGTAGGGCACAGGGGGGGAAGGGGAGGGGGGGGAAGGGGGGAGGGAAAAGGGAGGAGGGGGCCATCTATGCCCCCATATTACCTGTATTCCCTCCCCCTCTCTCCCTAAAGTGCCAAAAAGATCACGCAGCCTGGAGGATCCTTTTGAAACACCAGTTTCCATCCACTTGCCGTTGCATCTTTTCTTGTTGTAAGTTATTCCCCCTAAAACCCAGGCCCTTAAAACACCTAAGCCTCCCTATATAATCATCCCTGTGAACCCTCAACGCTATGCAACCCAATATAATAGTTTCCATCTTCTTTTCCCTTATCCCAACCCTAAACCCTAAACCCTATAGTAATTTCCTTTTCTTTTCCATCATCCCATTACAACCCCTACATAACCCCAATAAACTGACCTATGATCCCAGTTTCCATTTCATGTTCCATTTTCTTTTCCATTTGACTCGCAATCATAACCCTAAACACTAAACCCACAACCCCATAAGCCCTATAACTCCAGTAGTTTCCACTTTGTTTTCGATTATCCCAATATAACCCTAAACATTAAACCCTATAGTAGTTTGCATTTTCTTTTCCATAATCCATTATCCATTATCCAATATATACCCTATAATCCCTATATACTCCCTATATAATCAAACTCTAAACCCTAAACCCAAACCCCTCAAGTCCCAAAGGTTTCTGCCATTTTCCACGGCCTCCTAAGCAACCCAACCTCCGATAGGTTCTCTCTGTTTAGGGTATTGGGTTGAGGGTAGAGGGTTTTAGGGTTAAGGGTTCTAGGTTTGAGGGTTTTAGGGTTTTTAGAACTTAGGTTTTTAGGGTATAAGGTGATCGAAACTTCAAGTTCTGGTGGCTCTCAGGAGGGCGGCCCTTTGGGAAGCCATAGGTATACTGGGATTAGCAAGGAATCGAGGGAGCCAGGGGGGGGGTTATGCTTCCTATAGATCCCGCATCCAGCCCTAGAAAACCCCACAACCCTAAACACAAAACCGGCCCTCCTACTAAACCCCAAACTAGAAACCGCGAACCCTAAAGCCCAAAAGAGCTTACCTAAACCCGAAAAGTATGTAAAATAATAGCCCTAAACCCCCAATAATAGCCCAAAAGGCCATCATTTTACATACTTTTGGGGTCCAGGTAAACCCTAAACCCTTAGGCTCGGACGGTGCTCAATTTGACATACTGGTGCTTACAGGGGACAATGGGAATGACTATCGGGACAAGTATAGGGGTATATGTGGGGATTGTGTAGGGATCACTGTAAGGATCCATTCCCCCAAAGACCTTCAGCCTAAACCCTAAGCTCTAACCCTCAACCAAGACCAAAAAAACTGCGCTAAACACAAGTTGAAATCTCCTAAACCCTAAACCCCATATAATCCTTTTTTCTTTTCCCCTATATAATCCTATTATACTATAGTAGTTTCCATTTTCTTTTCCATTATCCCAATAAGCCCCCCAATAATTTACCCCATATTAACCCCAATATCAACCCTAAACCCTAAACCCTAAAACCCTAAACCCTAAGCCCTAAGCCCTAAACTCTAAACCCCTATGGTTCTTGCCTTGGCTTGGGCCGCCTTCTTCTCCTCCGCTGCAAAGGACCAGTAAGCATGGGCTACTTTTATTTTGAGGGTTTAGGGGTTTAGGGGTTTAGGGGGTTTAGGGGGTTTAGGGTTTCAGGGCCGCTGTGAAGGGGGATATATTATGCACGGGTTATATAGGGATCTAGCGACACATACGGTAAGCCTAGAGTCTGCTAAAGCACGCTTCTAATCCCTGCATGCTACGCAATAAACGGAGTTGTCACACGAAAGCTCTTCTATTCTGGTGGTCACCATGATAACCTGCCAGCCAACCCTAAGCCCTACCCTAAACTCTAAACCCTAACCCCAAATCCAAAAACATCAGGCACTAAACCCTAAACCCAAAAACGCCTAAGAGTCGGGATGAAGGGACATGGCATGCCACCTTGTAAGATGTTATGAAGGTGGTTCAGGGGTTACTACTCGAGGGATTAAGGATTAGGGTTCAGGGTTTGGCGTTGGGATCCCAGTTAGTTCTTGCGTGCCTCTTTCCCTTAAACACTTGCTCCTGAACACATATGAAGTCCCTTGGGTGCCTAGTATAATGTGGAACCGAGCATGTAGGGTTCCCCTGGAAGGCACACCCCAGATCCTAAATCCGAGACCCTAAACCCCAAGTTCTACACCCTACACCCTAAATCCTAGACTCGAAGAAGTAAGCCCTCAGAATTAAAACCCTTGATCCTGAACCCCAAACCCCATTGCCTAAATCCTAAAGCCCAAACCCTAAACCCGTCCTTGGCGCTCTGCTTCCCAGCATCCTTGCTTTGCTTTGCCGCCTCCTTGTCTTCCTTGGAAACCCTGGCCTCTGTCGAGAAAAGGGATGTTGAAAATGTATAGGGTTTAGGGCTTAGGGTTTAGTATAGGGCTTAGGGTCCCCTAGATTAAAGGGTGAGGGGTCTAGTTTACTAAGCCGGTTTAGGGGCCTTACAGGTTTTCAAGTTTTGGTAGTTTCGGATTCGGTTGGAGGTTTAGAGTTTAGGCAGCATGAAGGTTTTAGGGTTGGGGTGGGCCGTGTCTTCCTTGGAAACCCCTGCCATAATCCAAAAAAGAAAAGTAATGGAGAATCAGAAGGAACATGGAACGGAGATGTGCTTTATCAGTTAGGTGGACCCCCCACCCAGTAATAGTGACTACAAGGGTTCATAGGGATTATATTAGGGTCCTCTTATATTCTTATTATACTACTATTACAGGGTGGGGGGTCCTCCTAATTTATCGGTTTAACTGCCCTTCTAAGATGACTCGTAGAGCCACAAAACATACCCACATCATATAAAAAAGAAATGGTTCTCGGCTGAGGGTTGCCAACATCCTCTTATCCGACAGGGGTTGGTCAGAGCTTTGGGACAAAGCGCTTAAGGCCCCTCTGTAAACATGGTTGGTGTTGTATTTGTAGGGTTCAGGGTTCAGGGTTTAGGGTCGAGGCTTGCTATCATGAGAGCTACAGCCAATACTTCCTACATAGTTCAATGGACATGGGTTCCTTACTAGGGACTAGAGTGGGACTATTGTAAACTACAAGAGGGACCCCTATGTCCACTGCAAAGGGTCACTTAGTAAGGCTAATAATTAATAATCCCCTTCACGATTAAAAAAAATCCCTCAGGGTAAATACTCCTAATCTTTTATAATGTACCACAAGATGGGCGTATTTACGTAATATTAGGGGGGATGAGGGGCTTTAATATTAGGGGGAGGGGATTATTGACAGTCCCTACGCTCCTAAACCCCAAACCCTGCTCAAGAGAGCGTTGCCTTCTTGGTAGGCTTCTCGGTCTCCTCATTCTCCGCGCTAGGCAGGGGAACGTAGGATTTCTTGGCCTCACCACAAAAAGTTCATTATGGTTTCAGGTGTAATTAAAGTTTAGAGTTTAGGGTGAAGGGGTATATAAGGGTTTGGAGGGTTCCCCCCGATACAAACTTCCCTGGAGTAGGATGCCATTGAAGGGGGAAGCTTAGGGGGAGTAGTATAGAGTGGTGGTTAGGAGAACCCATAAGTTTAGGGTTCGGAAGGTCTAGGATCTAAAGTGTAGGGCAGGGTTGGGTTTAGAAATTTGGGATTTAGGGTTTAGGGTTTAGGGTTCTAGGGAGTCAAGATTAAGGGCTCATCATCCAGAAAAAACATGCAATCAGAGGATGGGACACCCAAACAAAGTTCCCCACACCTACTGGGCCCTGGGCCAGGGTTTTGATTAGGGTCTGGGATTTAGAGCTTAAGGTTATAGGAGAGATTGTGGAAAGCTCAGGAGTTGCAAGGCCCCTGTATTAGAAAAAAGTGGCGGGTTCCTAGGGTCCTTGATTTCGGCTTGGGGCACAAAGCTTGAGGATAAGGGTTTAACATTGGCCCGAAAACCTGGAGACCCTGAACCCTAAACATCGGTGAGCCACACGTTAAGGCCCTTGGGGGTTTTGAATCTACTCCAGGGCCTCCTCATACTCGGCCTTCTTGGTCTCGTACTCTTCCTGGAAGACCTGGGATTGTGAGAGATTGCACTGGCACACCCCGGAATCTATGACAACAGTGACCTAGAATACGTGACCACAATATGGGGATTGAATGGTTGAGGACGGACCTAAACCCTAAACCCAGCAAGGTTGCCAAATCTACGACCCAGCCACTTTCTTCTCCTTCTCGCTGAGGCTCCTTACTTGCCAGGCTTCAGGCGTGAAGAAACCGAGCCCAAGACGCTGCACCCTTCCGGCCTATAAGCCCTAAGAGCTCAAAGCCCCAAGCCCGAAAACCTTGAACAACCCCAAGCCTCAAACCTTCAAACCTACACCCTAAACCCATATCCCTAACCCTAAAGCCCTAAACGCTCAAGCCCTAAACCCAAATCCCAAAGCCCTCAAGCCCTAAACCTTGAGCCCTTAAGCCTTGAACCAGATGTGAACATCTGCTCTCCTCAAAGGGTTTGGGCTTAGACTTCAGCATCTCAAGTTCAAGCATTAGTTTAATGAGCAGATCTCTCAAACAACAGCAATTTACCCTCCTGCCCATTGGGTCCCGCAACATTAGGAAAACGTTTCGGTAATGCGCGTAGACCTAATCCCTAAAGCCGGACCCTAAAGCGCGAACCCTGAACCCTGAATCTGAAAGCCCAAACGCTAAAGCCCCAAATCCTAAAACCCGAAGCTTGAAGCTAACGCCCTTCCACACGTTTTTTCTGTGTGACTGTATGGCTTTAGAGCCCCAACACGAGATCGAACCCTAAAGCCCAAACCCTATAGAGCCCCACCCCTAAGCCCGAACCTTAAGGCATGAACACTCTAAGCCTGAACCCTGAATCCCGAATCCTAGAGCCCAAAACCCTAAGTCTGAAGCCTAGAGCCCCCCATGAGCCCAAACCCTAAAAACAAACCCTAAAGCCTGAACCCTAAAGCCCGAACCCTAAAGACCGAACCCGAAAGCACAAACCCGAAAGACCGAACCAGAAAGACCAAACCCGAAAGACCGAACCATAAAGAATAAACCCGAACCATAAAGCTAAATGAACAAATAAATATGTATATATATATATATATAAATACATTGCCAAACCCAAGCTTCTTCCAGCGGCTCGAGGCAAGCTTGGTGACGGCCGTGATCGGCTGGCCCTTGACCTTCCCCCATTAGGATTTAAGGTTTGGGGTTTTAGGGTTAGGTTTAGGGTCATGGAAGGGTTATAGGGGTAGATAGGGGTATATGGGGAGATATATGGGCATAAGGCGTAAATAGGGGTAACTATGGGTGTATACATATATATATATATATCTATCTTTTTGCTCATATAACAGTATATGCGCTCTAGTCTAAGCTCCTTGCCCCTTAAGAACCTCTATAGGACTCCCCCAAAATCCCCTGTGTAACCCCCTTGACGGAGTTAAGACTATAGCTCATATGAGGATATATAGGGGTATATGGGTCTATGTTGGGTCAGGGGTTGCGGGTGTAGGCCCTATAAACCCTAAACCCAAAGTAGTAGTTTCCATGTTCTTTTCCAGTCCTCTTATTCATTTTAGGCTCTGGGGCCTGGCATCACTGCCTGAGCCTTCAAGGTTTTCAGGGTTTAGGGCGTAGGCCTCAGAATTTTGGCTTTCAGGTTGTGGTTTGTTTGAGGGGGTTCAGGGTTTAGGGCTTAGGCTTCAGAGTTTTGCTGTAACGCTGTGGTTTGTTTAAGGGACTTCAGGGTTTAGGCCTTCGGGTGCTGAGCTTGAAGGTTTCAAGACTGCTGGCCCCTTTTTGAGGATTAATAAGATTGAATGCCGTATGCTTACAACTTCAAAAACCTCGACTCCAGCAATGAACCTTGTAATGAGGATGAAGAAGAATTATATGACTAGACATGTTTAGAGGCTGGGGGTGTAGGGTGCAGAGTAGGATTTTGATTCCTGGCCCAAAAAGGGACAACCTCTAGCCCAGACATACACTAAAATGAAAAATACAGTCTTGCCTGAACCTGAAACAGCACCCACATGGACTAAGACCCTGATCCCGGATAGGCCTCTCAAATGTTGCCCCTACAAACCCTCTAGAGTCCTTACCAAGCCCCGACAAGTCAAAACCTTCATATGAGCTACAGTCTAAACTCCTCGTATCCCCCTTCATATAGTCTCATATAAAATCCCCTACATAACCCCCTTCATGTAGTTTAGATTATGGCTCATATAGGAAGGTCCCGTTTCGAGGGAGTTCTTATAGTGGCACGTACAGGTTCCGGGGTTGCTTCAGGATTCAGGCTTTCTTGTTTAGGGTTTAGGTGAACAAGGGAACACTCACGTCCGGAACTGTGCATACAGCCAATGAAGGGAGCCACCGAAAGCATGCCGGATCTCGGGCGAGGATCCAAGAAACAAAAAATCCTGGGCAAGAACTGGGGAGTCCATTTGCGCAACCGGTTTCGCCATAAACCACCCCTAAACCGTGTTGGAAAAAAAAAAGTCCGAACAATCGACCTCCTGCATGAAGGCGGCGCGGTTCTTGGCAAGGAAGCCTTAGCTGCTCAGTTCGCCACAACCCTGAAGCCTAAATCATAAGTGTTGGGCTTAGGGATTAAAGGATGAGGGTGTTTAGGGGGTTGGGGCTTTAGGGTTCGGGCTTTAGTGTTCGGGGCACCCGAAAACAGGGTTGAGGATTTAAAGGGGTCCAGGGCTTCGATTTGGAGTGCTTACGGCCACACGGTTTGCAACATAGAGGATGTTCCCCTTACACCCTAAACCCTAAAAACCCGAACCCCTAAACCCTATCCTGTCCTGCGGACTCTGCAAGGGCTGCTTCGAGAAACCTTTGCCAGTAACCCGCCTAGAAACAGCCGAATGCGCCTCCGGCGGGCTTCTTGGGTGCTGCCGGGTCCTGGAGCGAAGGTTTCCAAGGTGCAGGCATGAGAGCTTCAGGTTTAGGGTTTAGGGTTTAGAGCTTCAGAGTTCAGAGTTAAGGGCTCAGCGTCTAGGGGTACAGGTTTAGGGTTCACTATCTTCTTGATTTAGGTTTGAGTCTTAAGACTCACATGGATAACAAAAGCTAAGGGCTCGGGTTTAGGGTGAGGTTGATAAGTTTGAATTTGGTCGCGCAGACCTTTTGAAC